ATCTCTATTTTCATGGATGATTGTAATGAATTAAGTACTAAGAGAGAAATGAGAAACTTTGATGAATATGATGATTTTACAGGTTTAGTTCAATCAATCAAAGTTTCAATATGAAGAAGAAGAAAAAGTTTATGCAATGTAAGTGCAAATATCCTCTTCAAAAATAGATTTCTTTTAAAATTGATATAGACAAATTAAGCACAAAGAGAAATGAAAAACTTTGATAAGAGAAATAATTCAAGAAGTTTGATTCAACAATCAAAATTTTTGTTATGAAGAAATAAATGAAATGAATGTAAAAATGTAGGCTAAAAAGTATCTCAGTTGAATGCTCTTAAGTGTTGAAATGAACGGCAAGTGAGTTTGTATTTATAGAAGTAAAAAATGCCAAACTTTCTGTCAAACCGGATGACCGCCAATTTTTGGATGACCAATATAACAGTTTGTACAGTCAGAATGGTCAAATTTTGGACCGTTGGAGACGTCGGTCGATCTCCAATTCCGGCTGGTCAACCGACGGTCAACCATCGATGTTGACTTTTTTTTAGAGGAAATATGATTTAAGTTCAAGTATCACTTTGAAAGATCAATTTTACTTTTGATCAAAAATATTTTATGCAAATGATATGAAAATAATTCTGCGTGCACAAAATGATTTTTGAGCTTATGTCATTCATTACTAAAGATCAAAGTGTTATACCTTAACATATGATCTTAAAAGTCTATTCTTTGATCTTGCTTCAAAGTTTCTTTCATATTTGGCTCTTAAACTTTTGATCTTGTTCTTTTTCATGAGCCCAATTTGATATTCTTGATTTTGATCTTTTAAACTCTCGTCTTGAATGATTTGACTTGAATACTTAACTTTCACTTTGATCGTCATTGCGAGTGCGATTTATGATGTGTTGATTTTGGCAATGCTTGATAGATTTTAACATTGAACTATTATCACTCAAAATCAATTGTTAGAAACAATATTAATCTTGTTTGTTATAATCAGAACATTGAGGATGAAATCAACCATATATCAACACAAAATAATGTGGCTTTGTCTACAACAGAAGCAGAATATATGGCCATTATAGAAGCATGTAAGGAGGCTATGTGGCGAGAGGATTGATTGGTAAAATCAGTGAAGACTTGCAGATTTCTACAGTTTTCTGTGATAGTTAGAGTGAAATTTTCTTGACTAAGGACCAAATGTTTCACGAGAGGACTAAGCATATTGATGTGAGTTACCGTTTTATACGCTATGTGATTACTCGTGGTAATATTTTAGTAAGAAAGGTTGATACCAAGGATAATCCTGCTGATATGATGACAAAACCACTTCATATTGCTAAGTTTGAGCATTGTTTGAACTTAGTGGGTGTTTGTCATTGATTTAGTCAATTGTGGCTTGTTTGGAAGAGGAGAAATGGTATTTACTTGAAAATGTGTTTTAATTTCTTGTGATAGAATTTGGCTTAAGGTGGAGATTTGTTGTGGTGTGATCCAAATTCCATGTGATTTGGTATTTAGTTGATTGGATTCCATGTGATTTGAGATTTAGTTAATTGAAGGAAGTCTAAGGTACTTGGGTTTGAAGAGTCCTAAGTTGTGAAGATCAAATTTCCATAATAATTAGGAGTTTGGCTTGAAAATGAACTCTTGGATGTCAAAATGGCATATTTACCCGAGATCTAGCGCCTGAGCGCTAGGCACATAGCGCCTGAGCGCGAAGCGTAGTGCCCAAGCGCTTCGATGTAGCACCTAGGCACTGCACCTAGCGCCCAAGCGCTATAACAGTAGCGCCTAGGCACTGCAACAGTAACCTGATCGCGATTTTTCTATTTTATCGGGATTTTGGGACTTCTTCCCTATCTTGAACTCCAATAAGAGGGTTTATATATATTTCCACATTGTATCTCCATAATATAATATTCATATATTATTCTTTACATTTTCAACAACATNGCGGCTCCCCGTTAGCGTAATTTTATGCAGTTTCCTGGTTTTATTAGGTCTTCTTCTCCATCTTGGACTCCAATAAGAGGTTATATATATATAGCCATATTGTATTTCCATAATATATTATTCGTATCTTATTCTTTACATCTTCAACAACATATTGAGAGATTGAGAGTTTAGATTCCAATTGAGATTATTGAAATCTTGATATTGTAAATACAAAATTATTGATTATAGTGGATTGTTCTCCTATGCTCGTGATTTTTTTTCGAATTGGGTTTCCACGTAAATTCTTGTGTTCTTATTTTCTTTTTCTTTATTTCATTATCCTCATTATCTTGTGATCCGTTTCATAACAGGGTACTTTTGGGCGAACTTTAGATAAGGTCTGGTATGGCAAAAATGTTGTTTTCTAAAGAAATGAAACAGAGGTTCAACCCAAGACTTGCTGCAGTATGAAAGGCACTGATTATTTTGGGTTTTAGGGTGATCTAGATAGCAAGAAACAAATCTATTTTCGAGGATGCGAAACTCCCGTGCACCGGTCACGTTTTTTTTTTTGTAAACAGAGCAGAAGAGGCAACACGTCTATCAGTTCCATGTTCTATCAGTTCTATGTCATGGGGACATGGATAACTCTATGTTGAAAAGGGTGGTGTTTAAGAGTCTCTGCATCGCGGGTAAGCCAGAAAAGGTCTGAAAATTATCCCAGTTCAGTGGTGGCCTCCACTACCAGCAAGATGAAGCAGCTAAAGGGGGGTTGCATCCAGAAGGTGGTGGTGATGTTTTCTGTCACAGTAGGGGATTTGTCCAAGGGTGTTTTGCAGCTCCATTAGGCACAAAGTGGGCATTTGAGGCAGAGCTTTGGGATGTTATACATGCAGTGAAATTTACCTTGGGCAAATGATCAGTGGCGGAGTTAGAAATTTATCGTTGGGGGCCTAAATTAGTTTGAATTTTTCATAGCATATCTTTGGTATTGAAAAACCATTAAATGACAGAGTTCAGTATATCAACAAAATTAGTTGTTTAGATCCATTAACAATTCTACTTTTTATCATTTAATTCGTATTTTGATGTCACCTCTTTAGAAATATTTTTGGGCTATATTCTTTTCTTGCTAAGTAGTTTTTTGCACTGTTTCACAAAGTATTCATGATAAACTTTGTAAAACATCTTTCAAGTTGAAAAGCCATTGAACATAAATTTTATACCAACAAGCCAAAGATGGATGCTATAAATTGATTTGATAATATTGATGTTCATCTTTAAATTCTCATTTTGGAGTCACCTCTTTCGGCTGAATTTCGAACTATGTACTTCACTCGTCAGGATAGGTTTTCGTGGCCAACTTCACAAGGCACCTTGCAAATCAAAAAAATCGTGAAATGACGAGTTCAAAATAATTAGTCAAAAATAACTACTAGAAATGAACTTTTAATAATCCGATTTTGTTTCCATTTCAACAATCTTAGGAATGATCAAACAAGGAATTCCCCTTCTTGACTTTTCTTTTTTGTCTCTAATACCATGTAAGACGAATTCTCTGAAGAATATGATTCGAAAGATGAAGATATACTGTGATAGGGTTTTTCGATCCTTATGTTGTCTTTTCTCCAGCGTTCAAGTTGAGGGCATTTCGCCAAATCCAAATAAAGTATCATCCAAATCCATTTGAGCAAGCATTACTGTATCTTTACCTGCCAAAGAGAAAACTAGTGTTGCCATCTAAAAACGGAATATCATACTTCATAGTTGTCACAACAAAAAATCAAACCTCGAATTGAGTTGATTGAGTCTCGCTCTGATACCATTTGTTAGTTAAATAAAGGAACGCGAATAATATGGCAATATGAAAATCAAACCAGAACACAAAATTTACGTGGGAAAAAATCCAAGGGCAGAAGAGGAGAATTTATTAATATCAATAACACAAGATTATAAATTATTGTATAGAATGTAATAATTGATTTTTCTAGAGATTTATTCCTCATATATAATGCAAAGTAGAGCCTAAGATATGGTGGAGTTTAACTCTAACAAGTCTATACAATAATCGAGTGTTCGGAATGAAATAGGATTTAAAAAACCTGCCAAAATCGAGAATTGTTCAAATTTGATAAGACCGTTGCTCGAGCAATGGTACTTGCGGCTGTCGAGCAATGGCCGACCGCTTGAGCGGCCTCTTCACGGATAGCAAGCGTTGAAGCTCCTATTTTGGGTACTCGAGCCAGTTTGCCATTTACTTTTCCTTGTATGATTTCTTCCTCTCATATTGTTAGGACTCCTTCAAGTCTTCTTCAAATCCAACACAAATCACCAACTCCCAATTGAACTCCCAAATTGAATTTTAACTTGAATTCCCAAATAGACTTCAAATAAAATTCCTAACTAGACTTCAAATAGAATTCCCAAATAGGCTTCCAAATAGAATTCAGGTCACACCCTAATTCTAACAAAGGGACTGGTTTAGAACCAAATTTTTCCTTAAATGGATAGGCGGCGGTCATTGGTTTGAAGCAACTTAATTCCTAGAATGCACTCCTTGAAAAGCTCAAGGCTTAGTACATCTCAATACACCTTGAAATGTCAAAGAGAAGTAAATGCCACTAAATATTGAAACATTGAACAAAATTTAAAAATTCAAGCTCTCTATCGTATTTGACAATGGAATATTCCTGGAAAACCTCCAAAATGTTATAAATGATCGAAATAGATTTGATATGAATAGTTACAAAAGACTGGCACCAGAAAAACAGACTATCTTTCAATTCAAATACAAATCCAATCATGTTTCTTGCAGTCTCTGGATAAACCGTCAATATTACAAAGGTTAACATACTGGAGATAACTTCCAGGAAATTAGAATAAATTGAACTTTTGATCGAACGAAAAGACTCCAAAACTGCGCGGTCACCTTTTTATTGGAAACTACTCCAAAAAACTGGCTAGTAAGGAAAAAGGAAAAAAATAAAACACAGCTTGAAATGGACACAAAAAAAATAAGCTCGAACCTTATTTTGCAAGTAAGCAATGCCAGAACAATCTCCTCATTTATCTTCAAGTAGACAAAAATTGACTGAAACCTCCTCCCATCTCTTCAGGCCTTCCTTAATTCTATCCACAAGAGCTAGAGAGGAAGTTCAAATTGGATAGATAATGAATTTGTTCTTCATGTAATTTGATTATATTATGCTATGCTTTATACTTGTTCTCCAAAGTGACATCACATGTGTGAACATAAATTCACCAGGATGAATAACATCAGCATAAAGTCCCGAGAAACAAACCACAAAAGCTGCAAAAACCGCTGTCAAAGACAGATTAGCTGGAAATCTAAGCCCGGAATGCTGCAAATTGCAAAACATATTGAACTTCGGAGAGACAAACTATTAATTTGTGATTTCAAGTAGTTATGACTTAAGAGAGAGAATCACATTCAAGAATGGTGCAGCTGGTATGGAAATTACTCATCATATTGCACAAAGTATAATTTCCATACAAGTCTATATTAGCAAAGAAAAGAACAACTTGCAAAAAAGAATATACCCTCACATCTCTCCCTCCGTGTGTGTTCATTACAAAAACTAACTTCTATTTGAAAGAACCTCAAAATTCGTTGAAGGAGTTTCCGAGACTAGCAATGGGCTGTAATCCAAATCCGCATTTAGCTTTCCCACATTTTCCATCATCTTCACTACATCTGACATTTTCGGTCTGTGCTCCGGCACTCTTGCAACGCAACTCATCCCAATTTTTAGTATTTCTACCAATTCTCCTATATTGGTACATATAAAATTAAATGTAACGTTCCACTCCTCCCTTAGAATAGAGTGAACCCATTTGACAAAGTCTTCAGCCTTATCGTTGACTCTATAATTTATTGGGGACTTCCCAGTGAGAAGTTCATGCAGTAGTACTCCAAAGCTGTAGACATCAGATGCCTGGGACACTATGCCAGCGTCCACGACTTCTGGTGCGGCATACCCACCAATCCACATGAACGGTGGCATTGCTGGGCTTATCAAGTTTGCAAAGCCAAGATCAGAAATGCAACCATATCTATGCGAATTCAGGAAAACATTTGATGCTTTAATATTTCCATGTATAAGATTTCCACCACACTTGGCGTGGATATGACTGATTCCTCATGCTGTACCAATAGCAATGCTTACTCGGGTCTTCCAGTCTAAATAATATCTGTCTTCTGCAAAAATTATTATTTAAATCACATTATGTTCTTTATATACAAACTATTCGTGATTAATTAATATGTGCTACAAATGACAGATAAGATTGACGAGAAAGCCAATAATTTCTGTTTAGATAGTTTAGTTGATAAAATGCAATTTCATTATACTCGTTTTAGAAAAAGTGATGGAAGTTGTGTTCAATCATACCATGTAGCATGGCTGAAACATTCCCTTGCTCGTAGTGATCATACAGAATGAACTTATAATCCTTGGAGAAATGGTATCCCCTTGGAATAACCACATTGTCGTGCTTGATACTGCCCAGTAACTTCATCTACTCCTCAAATTCTAGCATTGAGACTTTCACTTCTTTCAATTTCTTTGATGTAGGACAACTAGCTTCGGAGTTTGAAGAAGTGCTGGACAGAAAATTGACGAAAAAAGACCGTGCCAAGGGCAATTTTGTCATTTGTCACGATTGTGCCGGAATGGGCTGAAATTTGGCTGGTTGATTGGAAACAGCCCGAAAAATTGGACTCGGGCCTGAGATCTCGGGATTTTAGCCAAATTCCTTCGTTTCGGCCTCCGAATAATTAATTTCCATATTTCCCGTTTTGAATTTTCGCTATTTTTGGAACGTTTTGCTATTCTATGTTTTTAGGGTTTCTTGTAACCCCTATTTAAAGGCTTTTGAACATTTTCGGCATAATAATTAATGGCATATAAGTTTGTTTCTTGAAGAATTCCAGTTTTCTTATTTTCAAGATTTACGCTGGTAAATCTTTTACTTCCGTTCTGCGTCAAGTGGTATCAGAGCTCGGATTTGCCCTGTTCGATGGCCAACAACAACGAAGTCGGAAGAAATCATCCTCGCGACGCTGGTAGCAGGGATACAGATGCAGATCTGTGGGCAGCAATTGACGAACAGCGGCAGGCGATGGAAAGGTTAGAGACTATGGTTCAGCGTCTGTTGGAGCGGCAACCTAACCCTCCCCCTATCAATCCCCCTACCCCTGTCGAGGAAATCGACCTTGGACGCCATGGGGGTGGGCGTTACCCTAGAGCAGCAAGAAATATGCAGTATGATGATATCAGCGATGAAGATTCTGAAGAGGATTTTGCCAAGAATCAGCAACAGCGAAACTAGCCCGAATATAAGATCCGCGCAGACATACCATTGTTTCATGGGAAGTTGCAGATTGAAGAGTTTCTGGATTGGATCTCAGAGGTCGAGAGGTTCTTTGATTTTACTAAGGTCGCGGAGGGGCATCAAGTCAAACTGGTTTCGTATAAATTGAGAAGCGGGGCTGCTGTTTGGTGGGAATGATTGCAGATGGATAGACGGCGCTAAGGCAAGGCTCCTATACGATCTTGGAGGTGGATGAAACAACTTATGATGAACAGGTTCTTGCCGCCTGATTATGAGCAGTTTATATTTCAAAGTATCCAGAATTGTGTGCAAGGAAATTAGTCAGTTGCAGATTATGCTTCAGATTATACTGAGGAGTGGTCCAGGCTTTCCGTCCGTAACAATCTAAGCGAAACTGAGGCACGACAGATTTCCATGTATTTGGGATGTTTGAAACCGTCTATTCGAGATAAGATTGGTCTACAAGTGGTGTGGACAGTAGATGAGGCCCATAACATGGTACTGAACGCAGAACTGATGGAAAAAATGTCTGGTCCTTTTTTCAATTACAAGAAGGACATGGGTGAGTCATCTTATACAATGGCGAATAGAGGTAGGTTCACACCAGGTGACGGCCAGGGTTAGTCTAAGCCTGTTGCAGATCAGGTTCAAAGAAGTGCTGCCTCCTATAATAACCAAGCTGGGACTCGCACAGCAGCAGTGGCAAAGGAAGCCCCGCGAACGCCAAACCCGTATGCTAAACCGGGTGGTTTTAAATGTTACAGATATGGCCAGCTCGGCCATCGCTCAAATGAATGTCCAGCCAGGAGGTCCGTGAATTTCGTGGGTGCTGGAGAGGATGGTGAAGATGAGCAGTATGTGGAAGAATGGGCTAAATTTGAGGAACTATTGGATGGGGTAAAAATTGCAGAAGAGCAGGGAGAGCTTGTAAACTGTGTAGTTCAGCATGTCATGTGCTCAACAAAGGTGGAAGAGTCCTCCCAGAGAAATACCATTTTTAAAGCTTGTTGCAGTGTGCGAGGTAAGGTCTGTGATTTGATTGTTGATACTGGTAGTTGTGAGAATTTTCATTTTTTAAGCTTGTTGCAGTGTGCGAGGTAAGGTCTGTGATTTGATTGTTGATACTGGTAGTTGTGAGAATTTTGTGTCCATATGGCTGGTGGAGCATCTGAAGTTGCCGATTGAAAAACACTCGAAACCTTATGTGATTGGGTGGATCTAAAAAGGGCCTAAGGTGGGTGTGACAGAAGTGTGTAAAGTCCCTATCTCAATTGGTCAACACTACCGAGATGAAGTAGTTTGCAATGTAGTCGACATGGATGGTAGCCATGTGTTGTTAGGACGTCCTTGGCAATTTGATGTGGATGTCACCTATAGGGGGCGAGATAATGTATATGTTTTCAATTGGGAAGATAGAAAAATCACAATGGTTCCAAAGTGGAGTTCAGTTGGTATCTCAAGTAAGGCTACAACGGGAGGTCAATCATTATTCTCCTTAGTTACTTCCCTAACAAATTTGGAGTTGGAGGTTAAGGAAGCACAGGAGGTTCGTGTTGTAGTCGTGTAAGCTCAAGTGATAGAAGAAAAGGAGGAGCAGAGGGAGGTGATACCCGAAAAGGTGCAGTCCCTTTTGGCCGAATTCAGTGAGATGGTGTCCGATGATTTACCAAATGACCTTCCACCATTGAGAGATATTCAGCACCATATTGATTTGGTTCTAGGAGCAAGTTTACCAAATTTGCTACATTATCGGATGAGTCCCAAAGAGAATCAGATTCTCCAGGAAAAAGTGGAGGAGTTATTGAAAAAGGGGTTTATTCGTAAGAGCATGAGTCCATGCGCTGTTCCCGCGTTACTAGTTCCAAAGAAAGATGGGAGTTGGAGGATGTGTGTTGATAGTCCTGCCATAAACAAGATAACAGTCAGGTACAACTTTCCAATTCCGTGGTTGGATGACATGCTGGATATGTTGGGGGGTTCGAAATTGTTTTCCAAAATTGATCTGCAAAGTGGCTATCATCAGATTCGGGTAAAACCGGGTGATGAATGGAAAACGGCGTTCAAAACGAATGATGGACTCTATGAGTGGATGGTGATGCCTTTCGGACTATCAAACGCGCCGGGTATATTTATGCGGCTTATGAACCAGGTTTTGCAACCTTTCATTGGAAAATATGTAGTTGTTTATTTTAACGACATATTGATTTATAGTCGGAGGGAGAGTGATCACATGGAGCACCTTCGGGCTGTGTTGGAGGTATTGTCTGAGAATAAACTGTTTATTAACTTGAAGAAGTGTAGTTGGCTGACGGATAGATTGTTATTCTTGGGGTATGCGGTCAGTTCAGAGGGGGTATTGGTTGATGAAGAGAAGGTGAAAGCCATTCGTGACACCGAAGATGGTAGGAGAGGTGAGAAGTTTCTATGGGTTGGCGACGTTTTACCATCGATTTATTAGAGATTTCACCAGCATTGTAGCACCTATAATCGAGTGTCTGAAGAAAGAAAAATTCCATTGGGGATAAGCAGCTGACACGGCTTTCGCAGTGATTAAAGAAAATTTGTGCACTACTCTTATCCTTGCCTTACCCAGTTTTGATAAATTATTCGAAGTGGAGTGCGATGCTAGTGGAATTGGGATTGGAGCAGTTTTGTCACAGGAGAAGAAACCAGTTGCATTTTTCAGCGAAAAACTAAGTGATGCCCGCCGAAATGGAGTACTTATGATCAGGAATTTTATGCCATTGTTCGTGCTCTAAAACATTGGGAGCATTATCTGATTCAGAGGGAATTCATCCTGTACACTGACCATCAAGCATTAAAGTATCTGAATAGTCAGCGGAGTTTAAGCAATATGCATGCTCGGTGGTCAACCTATTTGAAGAAGTTTCCATTTGTTTTGAAACACGAATTTGGGGTTCTGAATAAAGTAGCAGATGCCCTGAGTTGGCGTGCAAGCTTGCTGGTAACAATGCAACAACAGGTTATCAGATTTGAGTTTCTAAAAGAATTATAAGCTGATGATGAAGATTTTGCTGATGTGTGGGGTAAGTGTGTTCTGAAACAAACAGAAGGGGAATTCCATTTGGTTGATGATTACCTGTTCCGTGGCAATCAGTTATGCATTCCAAGGAGTTCTTTGAGGGAAAAACTGATTAGGGAGTTACATGGTGGTGGTTTGAGCGGTCACCTGGGGCGTGACAAGACTATCAGTGGAGTAGCTGAGCGGTATCACTGGCCTCAGTTGAAACGCAACGTGGGTAATTTTATTCGCAAGTGTTTTGTGTGTCAGACTTCTAAGGGGCAAGCGCAGAATACGGATCTCTACATGCCTCTACCTATACCGAATAGCATATGGGAAGATCTGTCTATGGATTTTGTTTTGGGGCTTCCGCGGACTCAACGTGGGGTAGACTCTGTGTTTGTGGTGGTTGACAGGTTTTCCAAAATGGGGCATTTTATCCCTTGTCGGAAAACCTCTGATGCGTCTCATGTTGCCCAACTGTTTTTTCGTGAAGTGGTTCGTCTACATGGAGTCCCTCAATCCATCACTTTCGATAGAGATTCGAAGTTTCTCAGTCATTTTTGGGTTACATTGTGGCGCCGGATGGATACTACTCTTAAGTTCAATAGCACAGCACACCCACAAACCGACGGACAGACTGAAAATCTGAATCGAACACTGGGAAATTTGATACGCAGCATCTGTGGAGATAAGCCAAAGCAATGGGATGTGGCACTGGTGCAGGCTGAGTTCACATACAACAATGCAGTTCACACTGCTACTGGTAAATCTCCTTTCTCTTTGGTATATTTGAAGCCGCCTAAACATGCTTTAGACTTGGCCCGTCTTCCCAAAGTTGCTAGAACCAGTATGGCTGTTGAGAACATGGCAAAAGAAGCTCGTGATGTTCAGGCAGAAGTGAAAGCCCGGTTGGAGGGGAAAAATGCAAAGTATAAGGTTGCTGCTGATGTCAAGAAGCGTGAGAAATTATTTGTGGAAGGTGATCAGGTGATGGTGTTTCTACGTAAAGAAAGGTTTCCTGTGGGGTCGTATAACAAGTTGAAGCCGAGAAAATATGGTCCATACAAGGTAGTTAAGAAGATCAATAACAATGCCTACGTGGTCGACTTGCCTGCTGATACGAACATCTCTCGCACCTTCAATGTGGCTAATCTATATGAGTTTTGTGACGATGTTCCACTCTATCCAGAATATAACTCAGGGTCGAATTCTTCATAGGTGGGGGAGACTNTGGCTGGTTGATTGGAAACGACCCAAAAAATTGTACTCGGGCCCGAGATATTGGGATTTTAGCCAAATTCCTTCATTTAGGCATCCGAATAATTAATTTCCACATTTCCCGTTTCGAATTTTCGCTATTTTTGGAACGTTTTACTATTCTATGTTTTTAGGGCTTCTTGTAACGCCTATTTAAAGGCTTTTGAACGTTTTCGGCATAATAATTAATGGCATGCAAGTTTCTTTCTTGAAGAATTCCAGTTTTCTTATTTTCAAGATTTACGCTGGTAATTCTTTTACTTCCGTTCTGCGTCACTCTTTACAACTATTCTTTGTCCATTTTTCAGTTGGACAATATACGTAAACCCAAATGTTCCCTTTCCAAGTATCTCAGCAGAAGGGCTCAATAGATCTTCAAGATCAAATGCAAAATTACAACCCTCGAAAAGTAGAATTTTGTCAGAAGTATTTTCCGTCTCAGATACCGCTTTCTCAGCATATTTTTCTTTCTTCCGCGACTTTAAATTTTTGAAGTAAGTTGTGGCTTGGATAATCTGTTGTCTAATTTTAGTTGTTGCAGCTTTCATTTTGGGTTCAGTATAAGGTTGATGAACTCCATTTCTCCTCATATGGCCTCCACCATCTTCACTTTGTTATCCACATCACATGAGCTATGACAGGAAGTAGAAAAAGAGATGGTGGTGCTCGAGCTCCATGAATGGTCAAGAGCAATTTCTCGGAGCTGTTCTCTCTGCAGCACAGCTTCCACCAGTCTCTCCCAGCTGTCATGGCTGCCCTTATACATTGCTATTTGAGTTTCAGCCTGAACGACACTTCTTTGAACATCTATTACGCCTTGGAATGGTAAAATAAGATGAAACGCCACTTAAATTATTGAAAATTCAAACAGAATTTTATAACTCAGCTAACTATAGTAAATGACAATGGAATATTCCATGAAAACTCCAAAATTTTGGATGATCCAAAAGGAGCTGAATAGATTTGATATTCATAGTTACACAAGACAAGCTCAAAAGAAGACTACTTTTTAATGTCAAACACGAAGCAAATGATGCTTCTTGCATTCTCAGGATAAACCTTCCATAAGACAAAAATGTCACAATACTACGGCTTGGACAGATCCTGGAAATTATAACAAGTGGAATTTTTTATCTAACGGAAAGAGTCCATCACAACAGAATTGCCACCAAGTGAAAACAAAAAGAAAAACAAATAAGCTTGAACCTTATTTTCATTGTGGCATTCCCACAGACAAAATATGCAAGTAATGCCAGCCAGAACTGATGTTTTCTCCTTTATCTCAAATTCTACACAAATTGAACAAAATACCTCTTGATGCAAATGGACACAAAGAATTAGCCCAAAAAATTAGCCTGATTGCTTGCTGTATGTAAATGTTCATAAAATCCATCTTGATTACTTTTTGGCAAATCTTTTAATTAGTCCCTTAAGTGCTTCTTTTCTTTTTTCCCTTTTGTCAATTTAATTGCTTTTTACCTTATTCTGCATTTAAACAGTCGCAACTTCAGCTTATTTATAAGATTGGCTATGTCCTTGTTAGTACATTTGCTTCTGAAAAAATAATCAAGACTTCTGGGGGTTTTTCCAAATATTTCAATTTGCTTTTGGAATTCTATTGAATCAACCATTGAGTCAGTCTTTGTGGTCACCGCCTTTCTTCCCTTCAGACTTTCCGAATCCCATCTACGAGGGAGCAGGAGAGGAAATCCAAATTGGATTGACATGAAATGAACGATTTGAAATTCAGTGTCACCAATTGCTCTCTCCAGTAAGAATTAAAATTTTTGATATACAGAAATCTAATCTTTTGCCCGAAACTTGTAAATCTCCTGAAAAATCAGAACGCTGACATGATAAAATAATGAACGAATCCATAGCAGAGCTCCTAGTTTTCGTTGGGAAATCAAATTTGGAGGGACACTTGGTTTGTCTGGTGAACTAAACTCACGAGACTTGTTCCAAAGCGCTGTACGTATGCGAGTGGTTCTGTTAGAAGAAAGTTCAGACATCTGTCTCTAGAAATCTACTTCAGATTTTATAAAAAAGGACCATGAAAATATATGCTTTATTTAGGTTGTCCATATTAAATCTGAAAAGAGTCTTGTTCTAAGGCAAAATAAACTTCATCAGCGCAATCATCTTGGACTCGGACACTGATCTAAACCACTAAGCTTTCCTTCCCGACCGGAATGGTGGGAAACATGCACGACTTGACATATAAATGCCAGGACTAGTAATTTTCTGTATTCAAACAGAAGTTTTCTAAAATCCTTGAGACAGAAACTGTATGAATTCCCGTAATCTACATTTTAGAACATTTATTTTAAAGGTTTTATGTATGAGTTTTTCCTTGCAGAACTGTTGCATCTATAAGTTCACCAACGTAAATCACTTCATATTCAAGCAAAAAATAGTGTCTAAGAATCAAGAAATAGACATTTAATTGCAGCCTCCTTTGTGCAGTCTGTAGACAGAATCATCTCATTTTAATAAACCTCGCAATCTCAGCTCTCCTCTGTCTCTTCTGCCATTCAATAATTCAAGTTACTTTTCTGGATTTAATCATCCTAGAATTTTTATCAGTTTTCCAAGATTTTGGGTGAGGAGGATCAAATCGAAAATCGAGAATCATTTCGAGGGTGTACAACTGGGAAAGGCTGGTCGCCGCCGGAGGAGCTTTGGCAACTCTTTCATGCTCCTTCTAGGACCCCAAGTTCCAGCTCCTTGTCGTCAGATTTCAGAACTATATCCAATATTGATATGGATTCTTCAAGAATTGTTTCCAACAAACTCCAAAGCTTTCCTGGTACCAAAGTTGGTAAAACAAATTCTGGGCTGGTATTTGTTGATGGTTCCGGTCTTGAATTTGAGCTCGAAGACTTGTTAGGGGCTTCCTTCGTGTTTCTTGGGGACGAATTGCATTCATTCAGTTCTTCGTTTGCTGCAATAATACAAAATGGTATTCCAATTGTGGTAAAGAAGTTGGGGATATGGAGGGGTGCATGCAAGGTGTTCGAGGAAAGATGAAGATGGTGACAAGTTTCAAGAATGAAAACGTGGCTGCAATAAGGGGATACTACTTTTCTGAGGATTATATGTTGGGGCTGTACGATTACTTCAGTCAAGGGAGTGTTCATCCTATGCTATATAGTATTTGTTAAATCCTATGATTTTGATCAATCAATTTAATCCCACTCGAAATTTAAATATCTATAGAATGATATGGTAACTCATTTTCTCATCTTTCTAGGGAAAAGAGGTGATGATCGAGTTCATATAGACTGGGAAACCCGAGTTAGAATTGCAATTGGTAGAGCAAGGGGCCTTGCTTACATCCACACACAATTTGGTGGGAAACTTGTCCATGGAAATATAGAAGCTTCAAACATTTTCCTCAACTCCGAACAATAGGGATGTTTGGCTGATCTCGATTTGGAAAACCTAGTAAATCCAGAAACATTGCAAACTTCCTGCAAGAATGCAGGATACCACGCCCTAGAATATTTGGACACCCGCCAAGCGTCCCAGTCATATGATGTCTACAGATTTGGCGTCCTGCTGCTTGAACTTCTCACTGGAAGGTCCCCTCTGAATAGAAACCTTGCCCATTGGGCTCAGCTCAATGCTCGGGACGGTTTAAATGTTCTGATGTACGATGTATGGATTCTCAGGAATCCCATAGTAAAGCAGGAGATGTGGAATATGTTGGAAATAGCACTGCATTGTGTTGAAGATAAACCAGAGAATAGACCAAATATGAATTATGTAGTGAAGATGGTGGAGCTCATAGTTCCATAATTGGATAACGTTTCAGTGAACATGTATGGAGAACAAAAATGCTTACTCTTCCACATTCCAAGAATGAGATATTTATGGTCCTTTCTTTACCAAAAGCGAGAATGACACATAAGAGGATGACTCGACTATTTACCGCTTACGCAATGATAAAGGCGTCAATCTCTACTTTGCTTATTACCAAGGCATTAGCTGGCTTAGGATGAATATTTGGGCTTTCCTAAATGATAAGTGTATTTTGTGCACTTATTCGGACCATATTACTAATATTTTGTATCGTCAAATTATTATTTCTACTTAACTTGAGTTAATTTTCTTTTATTTTTAGTTATGGACTCGTTTGAAGCAATTGGAATGGGAAGAAGGAAAAATTGACAATTGGATGGAAAGTTTGGGAATAAAATTTCACACTTTAGGAATTGAAGGGCTTGAACTGAATTAGATACAACATGGGCTGCACAAATAAATTTGTATCAGGACTAAATTGTCTTATTTGAAAGAAGTGAGGCCTTGGAGAGAAATATTATATTAATTGGGCTTCAATCCAATTTTAAAGGAGATGAAAGTCCTTTTGGAATGGGAAAAATTCATAAATAAGGTGTTTAGTTTATAACAATTCAAAAATCATGTTTATAGTTTGAAAATTCAAAAATCAGATTTTTTTTTTTTAATTCTAATATAATATAATATAATAAACCCACCCCACATGCACCACCCTTACAGCTCCGGGGACTATTCCGACGATCATTCTAATTACCACTCTTCTTCGGCGACCATTTCGGCGACTATTCCGGCAATCATTCCAGTCACATATTTATAATTTAATTAGTCACATATTATTTTTCAGTCACAAATAATAATTTTTATACGTCACAGATTATTTTATGGTCACAGTTCAAAAATTTTATAGGTCACATTTAATTCGTTGGCCACAAATTTCAAAATTAGTTAGTCACAGATCAAAATTTATAGGTCACACGGTCACATATTTCCAAATTAGTTGGTCACAGATTTTTTACGGTCACAGATTATATAATTTTTAGGTCTCAGATAAAAAAAATGGTTAATTTCATTGGTCACATATTTTCAAATTTGTTGGTCACGGATTATTTTTCAGCCACATATTGTCAAATTTTTAGGTCACAGTTAAATACTTGGTCACATACCACTGAAATAAAATGTGACCTATAAAACCAAATAGTTGGTCACGTACAGCAAAAACCCAACCTCCGGTCTCGATCTACCAATAGTTGGTCACATACACCAACCGACACGACCGCCAGAAATCATCACAGCCACCAGGACCACCAGGACCTCACCAAAATCGTAGCCACATCCGCCACAACCACCAGCACATCTAACTGCACATTCAACAAAAATACCCAAAACCCCCCTTCAACACCAAAACACCACCAACACTAGAACCGCACCCAACCACCACAACACCACAACACCACCCCCACCACTCACAACACCACCACCAATACTGCACACAACACCATGCCCAACCGCCACACCACCGTCGACCGCCGCCACCACCATCATCTACCCACCAAATACCATCATCGATCTGAAAAGAGTCCTCAACTCCAGCAAGACCAGCACTACCACAGAATTCACACACACAATCGGCTTCCACATACAGAAATCAAACAAATCGATTTCGCCCAGCACCACCCGACGACTTCGCGAGTCACCATTGAAAGCGCAGACACCGATGCTTACAACGAAGAGGCTAGCGACGCTGTGATGATTTCGCAGCAGCCATTGAGCCCGATGCTCACATCGTTGAGTCGTCGTTCACAGCGAAGAGGCAAGCGACGCCATGATGATTTCGCAGCAGCCGTTGAGCCCCGATGCTCACACCGTTGAGTCGCCGTTGAGATCAATGCTGTGAGGGAGAAACGAGAGAGAGAGGCGACAAGAAGAGGCGGGTAGAGAGAGAAAGAGGGAGATGAAAAATGATTTAGGGTTTGGGATTGGGTAGGGTGGGAATAATATTTAATTTTTAAATCAATACCTGAATTTTGATTAAAAAATCTTCTCACCTGATTTTTGCACTCTAATCTTTGAACACCTGATTTTTTATAATTTCCCTTTTGGAATTGGAAATCAAATACTAGAATGGACTGGACTCCTTATGGACAACAAGCTGCCGGTTTTTGCATTAATTGGAAGAGTAATTATCATAGCCAATTAGAATTATTTTTGGGAAAAAAAAAAAAAAAATTGCCACGGCTGTTGAGGGAATTAAAAGGGAAGATATATACACAGAAAACGGAACATAGGGAGAGGCATACAGAGACGGAAAAAGACAGAAGACCGGCAGAACAGACAGAAGGAAAAAAAAAAAAAGGACACGCAGCAGCAAAGAGAAGTCGTTCCAAATATTTGTGCAAGAATTCATCAATAATTTTGTACAAGGAATTTGGAAATTATTCACGTTTTGTTAATTTCTCGGTGATATCGTTTAAACTTTTATTTGTTTAATTCCAATATTATGTTAAGCTAAATTATTTTGTGCTAGGATTTTCGATGAACCTTTAATTTTTGAATCTTATTCAATTTTGACATTTAAAGCATGTTTTTAATTATTAAATGATAGACATAGATTAAGTTTTCTCTACAATGATATGCGTAATAGTTGTATGAGTTTTGTGACTTATTCTACCTTCGAAAGATGAAAATAAGTTAGACATAGTGTCAATTGTCCTAGAGTCCAATAGATGATAGAAATATAGCACTATATTTTATGTGATCTTTAAGTATTCAGAAATTTTTAATGCATTTTTATATGTTCGCATCATTCATAGAAATATAGTCGAGTCACATGTAAGAATATGTTTAATTTTACTCGAAAGAGATTGTTAAACAAATTAGGAATATTAGTCTTCATAATTGAATTGTGTTGTCAAGTTTATAAGTTCAGTGGTTAAAGTGGATTGATATAAGGGGATTCGAGATCCTAGTACGCTTTTCATCATCATAATTTTATAAAAGTTGCATTTAATTATAATTTTGCATTTCTTTTAGTTAAGTTAGATATTGCATTTATAATTAAGTAGATTATTTATTTATAGGAAAATCACAAAATTTCAATTGTTTCGGTTAAGGCTAAGTTAATTCGAATTTGAACTAGTACAATCTCCGTGGGAACGATATTGAACTCGAAATTCATTTTACTACTTGTTAATGAACCATACTTTTGTGGTAATTCAAACGAATAATATTTTCGTGACAAGTTTTTGGTACCGTTACCGAGGATTGTTATTTTAGTTTGTATTCGACTTATTTTTGCTCTAATTCGGACTTCTACTTGTATTTTTGAATTTTTATATATTTATTTATTTTTCTTTCTATTTTAGTTTTTTTTTTTTTCTCTTTTTCAGGATATAGAACAGATCCAAAAAAAAGTAGCATGATAAAAGATTGATGTGATTGATTTCAACAAATGGTCGTATATGACTTTATCATAAGGCAACAACAATGAAAGCTCAAGAAATTGATGAGGGAAAATGCTTGTGGGGAATTTCATTATAGGACAACGACTACGAGATATAAAAGCGGAATGTGAACTTAATGAAACTGTCTTGGGTGACTTGTTGCATTATTTATCTCACCAAAATTTGACGTAGATGATTTGTCAGTGAGATTATTTCTTCCACCGGTTATTAATGGACATCAATTAAGAGAATCATGTCCACCGGACTTTCAACAAATACAATAGAGTAGAAGACTTTCCATGAAAATGTCATCGTTTCTTTGCCAAAAATTTTGGATATGGACGTTGAACTTGAAAAAGCTTCAATTAAAGAAGAGGAGCATGAAAAGATCGAGAAATTTATCATAATAGCCCAAAAAGAATTAGTAGCATTCAAAGAAGAGGAAATTAACATGTTCACATCGACTTTATCGTTTGCTCAAAAATTGAGTTTGTGATTAAACTTTATGAGGAGATTGATGTGTATATTATTGAGTTCGAAACAAATGATAAAAGAACTCATACTACTTGGAGCAGGGAAAGGTTAAAATTTGGAGGAAAGTTGCAAAATGGAACAAAGTCAAATTGAGCAAGTTAAGTAAGACCTCCAAAGCCATATTCAAGGTGCCACGAAACACTTATGCAAAAGTTGAGATTGAGACTATAAATCAAGAACTTAATGGGAAGTAACCCATTTTTCTATTACTTTTCACTTATTTTGATTAATTGTTGCAGTACAAGTAGTTTTAGGAATTGCATTAATTTAGGAACAAATGCATTTAAATTATTTGTAACACATTTTATGTAGTATTTTAAGACTTGCATTAGTAACTTANTGCATGTTTAGTTATTGAGTTCAATTTATTTAGGTTCATCGATAACATCATAATATTATATTGAGCTTACATTGATATGATATGCATTCTTATGGTTGCCCCTATATTTCAATCTCGAAGCAAATTTGAAAAGCTTATCTTTTCCTAGCTATATGATTTGTAGGGATATACGCTATGTTAGATAGTTTTTCTAAAAGTTAGTAGATTAGAATTCTTCTTGGTGTGAATTCATTGCAAATATTTAAATCTTATATGCTATTACTATTTTGAATTCTTGAAACAGAAAATTAAAGCCTTGCAATAAAGAAAAGTGGTGGTTGTCATGACGTCTACCAGTCGGACTAGCCTGATCTTTTGACTCATCCACATCTACCCTCTGAGAGTTTTTGATCCTTACTCCTTTACTTTGATTATCTTTGCTTTTACATTGGGGACAATGTAATATTTTTATTTGGGGGTGGGTAAGTATTAGGATACTTAATATATATATTTTTCAATTGCTGATCGGGTGTGTATAACTCTTTAATTAAAAAAAAAAAAAAAGAAGTTCGAAAAATCCAAAAATATTGTCTAGTATAGCGTTGAACGGCTTGCCACCTATGATGTTATTTATTTGTTTGAATTGAGTACAATTTTAGTCAGAATTGGACAACATCGTATCTTATGCTTTTACTTATGTACTTATCCATGCTAGACTTATTTACTTGAGCACATAGCCATCATTGACCTATTACTTATGTGCTTATGTTGGGACATAATTTAATTTTGCGGACTTGTTGATATTGTTGATCTAGGTGTGAATAAAATTCTTTGTATAGAAATCAAATTGCTAAACAGTAGTGAGGTGTTGGGAAGGTTAGAGCTTGAATTTGAAATTCTACTTTAAGGTTCAATAATTCAAGCAGGGTCCCAATTTTCCTTTTGACCTGATATGTGAAGATGACTACAACTGATATTTTCGACATTTTCTTGAATATAAGACGTTCTTCTCACTCACATATCTGCAGATATTTTAAGCAATCAAACTTCCATCATACCTTGAATCAGGGGAGAACAAGAACAATATAGTACTAGATCTTGTATACTTTTGATAATTATAAGGTTTCTTCAAATTCTCCTAGTTGTTTCTCTGGCTCTGAAGCTCAGACTACGATGGTTAGGTTCTATGACAACTGGGCGAGGCTGGTGGAAGCCGTGATCCGGAGAGAGCAACTTCGGGAAATTGCACTAAGCCTTTCAAGGAGCCCGAGCTCTAGCTCCTTGGGCTCAGATTACAGTTACACTTCTAGTTCTTCCCTCAAAGGAGTGTCTATTGGATCATCAACTAATTCCCCATTCCACCCTGCAATATTAGCTGCAAAGAATGCGAGAGCAGAGAAAAAGAGTGGAGCAAAAATGGTTCCTTCAAATAGAAGAAATAAGTGGAAAGGCCTGCGAATATTTGTAAACTTTTCTGCAAAAAAAAAACGATCTCCTCTCTAAGATTTTCTCCGTCTCTTTAACCGTTAATTTCACTATTCCTTACTGTTAAATGTTTTTCCCTCTGAATCAGAATGCTTTCATCACCAAGAAGGATTACGGCAAAGACGAAAGAGAAGTTCAAGGTGCTCATTCTCAGAGAACACTGCATCCCTTAAAAACACCAGAAACTACTAGTCTTTTCGATGATAAAAATAGCCACAGAGAGCTGTCTCAACTGGCAGAACAGGCCAAAAGGAGAGATGAACTGGCAAGGTAAGAATTTGATCCTTTAGTTACAGTTCTTTAGGAATTAGGTGATGCAGTTTCCATTATCAACACAAATCAAAACTAAAATCTTTCTCGAATATCATAGCAGAATTCAAGAAGTGAACACGCTCAAGGGTCATCTCGAGTCAATTATAAAACTGAAAGGCCTTGATCTTGACAAAATCCAGATGCACTACACTATTTGAAGAACCTGATGAATCTCTCACACAAAAACAGTCGAGGAAGTATATATCGAAGCAGTAAGAGTACCTGATGAATCTACATAATGGGGAGAGTAATTGATTGTAGTTCTCAAACTGCTTCTTTTGAGTCCTTATAAATTGCGTAGCATTAAATTTGTATGTTCCAATGGATTAAATTTGTATACTTTATTAGCTTGAATTTCTAGCATTTTACATTGATAAACTTTGAATATGTTGAGAAGGTTTTTTTTTCGTGCTAATAACGGCTTTATTTCTCAGCAACACTGCAGTTTTCTTCTGTTTCTTTTTGAATAATCTGAATGTATACAGTTTCTGTCTCATGGATATTAGAAATCAAGTCTCTCCTAGAACTGGCATTTATGTTGTGACTAACCCCTGCATTGCAGTTGCATCGAAAAGAGTATTTCATTGTGCATAGTGAACAGACCGGAAAAACTAGAAAAGTAGAGAGAACTAAACAAGAAAGACCCTTTTACATTTGTCTAAGAATGCATCAATATCTTCTTTGGCTGTTTGGAGAGATCAGCTGAGTGAGTGGTTAAACACATATGTACTGTGTTTATTATTAAGGGTTAAAATTCATAATGATACAAGGTTCACGATAAGTTGTTTCTTGGTTCTACATTGAAATCTATGGGTGATAAACTCGTTCTTACTGTGAAATTTACATTCTGAACATGTTCTTAAAGTTTCATCGTAGAATCTTTTGCTTTCAAATCTGTAGCACTTCGAGTTAACCAATGTAGATCGGTCCAAATTCAAGCGGAAATGAAGTCTACATATTAAGTTTATATACCCCGTCGAAACACTTCTGCTAGGCACTTTGAAATACATAAGAACACAAAAGAAACAGATTGAGAACTACTGCCTGTTATTGTCCCTTTGTATATACAGATAGTCTATAAAGGTGCTCTTACTGTTCTTACTTTGATATGTTGATTTCCTTGTATAATCTTATGCGAGATTCTATATGTTCTTAAAATGTAGTACTTCTGGATTTTCTCTATATCAAGGCCTTTGTGCTTTATTGCTAACTCGAGATGACCTCTGAGTTTGTGCAGCTCTCAAATTCTGCAACAATATTAGAAAAGATGCTGGTTTAAATTCGTATCATTCACAGCTAAATGGTTGTGTGAAGAAGTGCAAGTATGTAAATAAATGAACGAATCAATTCATGCTTAGCAATCCCAGTTCTCTCAGCTCTCATTTGATGCCATCAAGCTTCTCTTTGCCACAATCCATCTTCGTGGAGAAAGCGGACTGATTCAAGTGAAAAAAAAAAAAAAAAATTATAGTATCATATTAAGGAAGTGCAATAAACAATAAAAATGGTGGGAAAAATACTTGTAGAGAAAAGATCTCAGGTTTTTGTGCTGAAGAATTTAGAAATATTCTCAAGACTACCCACTTATTTTTTAATTTGCAGGCACCAATTTAGGTCCACTTTATTTTTCTGTTCTCGCACTGTTTGCAGAAAATATTGGCTGGTGAAATGGGGAATTAGTTGATGATCCAACAAACCAAGTCCTATTTGACCAAGCTGCTCTCTCCGAAGAACAGACTCCGCCAGTCTCTCTAATTTGTCATAGAATCTAATCAACTCCGTCTCAGCTTCAGAGCCAAAGAAATCACTAGGGAAAAACTAAAGAACCTTGGAATTCGCCTTTCTTTGTGCTCTATGATACTATGGTAAGAGGGAAAATGAAGGAGTCCTGATTGCTGCTTAAAAAATAAACAGGTGTACAAGCCCTTTTCAGTTACCCAAATACGAAAATAGAACCATAATTATCAAAGGTTAAACCTTTTAAAATATCTTGTTACAACATAGTACAACCATCAATAAATGCAACGTTGTCATTAACATTTTCTGTCTCAGCTGGTACCACTTTCTCAACAGATTTTTCCTTCTTCCTCGACTTGAAGTAACCTGCAGCTTGGATAATCTGATGTTTTATTCTAGTTCTTGCATCTTTCATTTTGGGTTCAGTGTATGGATGATGACCTCCGTTGCTCCTCATATCCTCCACCATCTTCACTCCATCCACATCAGAATTAGAATCCGAGCAGGTTGCGCTCGGGCTCCAAGAATGGTCTAGAGCAATTTCCCGTTGTAGGAATTTGGGCTCCAATATACCACTAATCCGGGCTTAGAAAAACACAAACGAACACCAATCTACCAAAGGCTCGACCCAACAACCCTCTGCACATTTGTTGCCTCTTTCTTCCCTCTTCGATTGCTCTCTATTTAGTATCCACAAAGGACACTAGGTGGTTACTACAATTGAGAAGAAACAAGGTGAACAACAATGGTGGAATCTCTCCAATTTCCCCCAAACCCAGCTGCCCCCTTTCTCACATTTTCTCTTCACTTGTAGCACCCCCAAAATGGTTGAGTTTCTACCATTTAGAAAGGGCTAGGTTTAGGTCACTCATATGTGCCAAGACTCACTCATAATGGGCCAAGTTAATGGGCTAATAACCAAATCCATCCATTAACTAAACTACCAACCCAACCAAATCTAGGCCTCCAATGTGTATTAATTGTTTCCAAGTCGAGCCGTAACTTTTGGTGTCGCTAAAATAATCCGACAACTGTTTTACATAATTACCCGAATTTATTGGGTATCAAAAAACCCAACAAATCTCCACCTTGATTCCCAATAAATCTGCAAGCAAACAAAACACACAGTGTATACTCGCATAATCAAGGTAACCAATAAAATTGGTATCACAGACATTACCTCGTGTTTCGAACACGAAACACATATCATACCTGCTTCATGTACTCACTAGGGCTAAGATCAAGAACACCCAAGTAGAAGTAGATATTCATAGCAATCAATCAAGAGCAAATAAAACATGTGATCGGGATATCATATATAGGATAACACATAGATCTTTTCAAAACATGTTCACACAGAACCACAGATTAACACCAAGTTAATCATACACATGGTCAACACATATGCAACAAATGCATAAATGACCTCACGAAAATATCTCACCACATTTATTCTATCCCATTTCGTGTTGCTTACACCTCGAGAACACATATCTCACCTCATCGTCCACAATGCTCACTAGGCTAATCACTCAAAACACACGTCTAACGGTAAGCCTCTATAGATCCTAAGTTCTCGGGATAATTCTTTATCACCACATCACTTCTCCCAACCTACGTGGATAATGGGTTTCCACCTAATAGAAGTGATAGAAGTGCCTCTCTCGCACTCCACCTGATCAGGGTTTCTTCATAGATAAAGGATTCCAATATTTGATCACCTCTCCACCATGATCCAAATGTCACACTCCACATCCCACAGTACAAACCACAATGTACCCTTAGGTATCTATACTCCACCTTACCAAAAGACATACACACACACTGCTAATGTATCCCAAATCCATTATGGCAAATCAACACCTTTCGGCGACCACAAAGGGTAGGGCTCAATTTTAAATTGATCCACGCACCACAAGATTACTCCAACACCAATGCTTTTACAAATCCACAAAGAATTTATCCCACAAAGGAAAATGTGAAGGTAGCACTCACAAAGAGAATAGAAAAAAGAGTTGGTTACTTCATTGCACTCACAAAGAGGCTCATACAGAGAACGAAGATAACCCACATTGGCTGCCTCACATAATCTCACAAACCACATAGGCTCACAAAGATGAAGGAGAAAATGGATGCCCCTCTTACTACTAACTACCACACTTTCTCATACCACTCACAGGGCAAAACAGAGTACGTCATAGATCTCAACCCACTATGCATGCAACCAATTACACCAAGTAATAAGATCACTCCAATTCATGCCAAAACACATATCAAACACATTGAAAAATGCACATATAATCATGCAACCGAATTGAGCAATCACACACATGCAGAAGGAGTTACATACAGATGCTCATGCAGTAACAAGGTTTACACTCAATAAACCTCACTAAGGTTATCACTCGACCCAAGGACAGAATTTGCCTCACCACTTTTATCATCTTACCTTTTATTATCATTCCTAGGACAATCTATTTCAACCATGTCCAAATTACTGCAGTTAAAACACATCTTAATTTTCGCACTTGCCTTAGACCACATTTACCATCAAAAGGTTTTATGAAAATCATTTTCGCTTTGCCAAATTAAAAAACACAATTTTCATTAAAAGATAAATTGTAATGCCCCGAATATTTTCATAGAATAGAATTTAATGTTCGTATGCTATATTTTAATATTTTGAAAGTTAGGAACTAAATGATACATTTATCAAATTATATTTTATTTGGGTCAAAAAATCTAGATATTGATGGAGTTATCGAAAATATATCAATATTGATCTCATTGGATAGACGGTAATTAATTATACATATTAAGCTCGAGAAATAATCGATTCGGATAAGTAAGCTCCAAGATATGTAGTTTGAAGAAGTTGAAGAAAAACTAGTTTTATATTTTAAAAGGTTATCTGCCACGTGTCATGTGTATGGGGTGTTTATTTTGATTTTGAATTGTTTGGGTTGGTAAGCACGTGTTGGCAAGATAGATAAGGTAGTTTTGATTTAAAAAGATTTGTTTGCTTTGATTTTGGAGTGTGATAGGGATAGGTGTCAATTGATTGTACTTAGATATTATTTAATTGCTTTGAAATTGGGATTTGGTTATGGTAGTGCACGTATCCTATTTTGATTATGACTTTTTGCCAAATTCCTTTCATATTTATCCTATGAAGTCAGAAAAACTATCAAACAAAATAAGAAACAGTTGAGAGAGAGAGAGCAGGCTGATTTTATTCATCACGCAGTCAAGAAATTAAGAAGTTTTGGAACGTGAACTCATTATTTACGTGAAAGTTATTTCATCTGACGAGGTAGGAAAAGAGGTGCAGTTGATTTATCTCGTTTAAATCTTTTGTTCATACTGATGAATTTTATACTTATGAAAGTTAAAGTTATGAGATGATGTTTTATGATATGAT